TGATCTAATTTTTGTTTTCATCTTGTTTTACTACTTTTACTAAAATGTAACATCACATTCAGTAATTCAGAATACGATAGACAAAAAAATTAAATTTTTTCAAAAAGTTACATAAAGATCAGAACTCAGTTCTGCTTATAGTTGCCTCACTTGGCCTTCAAAAGCTTAATAATGGTATTTAAGATTCTCTTTGGTTTCATTATTAGGATAAGAAAAAATATGACTACATTTAATGAAATTACAAACTGAACTTTACAGTGAGAAATATTCATTTGAACATATAATTTAAAATAATTTAAAAACAACTCCATTATAGTATAGGTTTCAAAATCAGATAAACTGGCTTTTAAAATTCTTTCCATTATTTTTATAGGGTGATTGCCAAAACTTTGCATTAGAATTAAATATACACACACACACACACACACACACACACACACACACACACACACACACACGGGGTCGGGGGGAGAGAGAGAGAGAGGTGGAAGGAAGGAAGTGGGGAGGTAGAAAGAGAGAAAAGGAGGGAGAGAGGGAAGAAAAGGAAGTAAAGAAAAGAAAGGAGGAAAGAAAGAGTCCGAGCATGATGGCTCACACCTGTTGTTCGCGGTAGAAAAATTTGTTAGGTCTTTTCATTCATGTCCTAGAAAGCCAAAGGTGGAAAGCCCCTTAGAAGAATACCAGCACTTTGGGAGGCCTAGGCAGGTGGGCCAGCCTGGCCAACATGGAGAAACACTATCTCTACTAAAAATACAAAAATTAGCCAGGTATAGTATGTTGCCAGATGCCTGTAAGCACAGCTACTCTGGAGGCTGAGGCAGGAGAACTGTTTGAACCTGGGAGGCAGAGGTCGCAGTAAGCAGAGATCATGCCACTGCACTCTATAAGAGTCAAAGAGACTGTTGGGGGGCGGGGGAGAAAGGAAGGGAAAGGGAGAGGTGGAGGGGAGGAGAGAGTTAGGAAAGGGGAGAAAGGAAGGAAAGGGAAAGGGGGAGAGGAGGGAAAAGGGAGGAAGGAAAGGACAAAATAAAGGAAGGAATTCTCATTATAGAACGTTCAATGTAAAACCGGAAACTCCCATTTCTTATTCACAATTTTTCTACCTAGAACAACAAAGAACAAATACTATTCTTTCTCATATATGAAAGTCACTCAAATGTCTGAAGAAAACTCCCTATCTTTAAACTTACCTTCTCCAAAATAAGACTCACCAATTTCTTCAACCACATCTCTCACTCTATAGCCTACTGAGGCCTTTTATCATTCCCTCTACGAGGAACGATACTAAGTCTATTAAGTGCCTCCCCCTCAATACATGGCACTTAAAATTAAAAGTTTTAATCTCAGTAACAGTGTACATGTGGCTTATTAATCTACTAGTCAATAACAGCTTTGCAAGTATAACAGGTCTTCCAACAACCATATTAAAGCACTTCCCAAATGCCCATCTATGGACTGACACTAATACTTGTTGAATTTTTCGGTGATGCAGAGTAAATGAGAAAATACCAGTGTAGTAATTTTTTCATCAACTTAAAGCTATTCAAGTTAAATTACTCTATCACTCTGAGTTTAAGTCCTTCCTAAATAATGGGAGTCACTTTTAAAATAAAATAGTAATGGAAGATGGTAGTTGTATTTTCAAAAGTCCTTATATGGCAAAATTTTCACATTTTACAATCCTTTTTAAAAATGTTGGTCTAGTGTCCTAAAATACTCAGGTAAAGAGGTTCATCTAATCTAGCTTCTGATATCATCTAGGTAGCCAAGCATTTAGAATAATTTAAAGAATTTGCAACAACTAATCACAAGATCCACTAACACTAATTTCTAAGACTTCTTAGCTTCCCATGCCCATTTCCGACTTACCTTGATGATCCTAAATTACACTCTAATCCAGTCAATCAGACTACATCAAATTAAGAGAGGACTGTGATGGCAGAAACTTACCACCACTTTTTGTAGTTTAGGTTATTTACCAACTTTTGAACTACAAATGACACCATCTATGACAGGAGACAGCAAATTATGGCCCACAGGCCAAATCCAGCTCACCGTCTTTGAATAAATAAACTTTTATTAGAACACATTCACATTCATTTGATTACACATTGTCTATGGCGGGTTTTGTGCTACAATTGCCAAGGAAAATAGGACAGAAACTCCATGGCCTGTGAAGCCCAAAATATTTACTATCTGGTCTTTTACAGAAACATTTACCAACCCGTAATCTCAGGGAATAAACTATGTTTGGAATAAATATATCAAAGCATTATTTAAGATCTGTAACAATAACCATTAACTAGCTCAGAACACCAACCATCCAAATCGGAACATCTAAATACAAATACTGGTATATCTGAATAGTTCTTTATCCTACTCTGTATGAAGATTTGTTGCCCACCCAAGACAGAGCACTTACCTGCTCAATGAGCTAATCTTTAACACACACTTCTCAAGGATTCACTAGCAGAATAGTGAAGAACCCATGAATATGCTGCTCTGTGCAATCTAACGTAAAAAAAAAAAAGTTGCTACAAAACACTCAAAAGTATATAAGAAGAAGCAACTGTATAGAGCTATGTAAGAATTTCCTTTATATTTTAGATTCCAAATACAAAACTTTTAAAGGCACTTAAAGTAGAAAAGCTTAAGTCCAACATTTTAGGTAATATTAACTGCATTAAATAATGCAAACTAATTTCCTTTTGTGTTAAATAACAAGACTTTCATTTCCATGTATGTGAAGTTGAAATCAAAAGATAATCTCTCTAATCTACATTATTCATGTAGCTATTAAAAATAAGTAACACCAGAACCTCTAAAAAACAAAGTCACAATATCAAAGTACTTTGAAACTAGACAGCACTTAAGAGATCCCCTCCACATTTTACAAATGAGAAAGTTTCAATATGACATGGAATACTTAAGTTCAGAGAACTAATCAGTGGCAGAAACAGAACTAGAACCCAACACTCAACCACAGTTTGGAACTTTTTCCACTTCATGACCAGGTATGTTCATGTTCTAGGAAAGGGTAGAGTGATACAAAATATTCTGCAGGTCTGTTTGTTTGTTTAGAGGGTTTTTTGAGGCTTACAACATTGCCCAGGCTGGTCTCAAGCTGCTGGGCTCAAGTGATCCTCCGACCTCAGCACTCCAAGTAGCTGGGATTACAGGTGCATACCACCATGTCCAGCCTCTAGGGTTGTATAAGTGCTAGAAACATACCTGTACTATAGTCCACCCATCTTAGGCAACCCTCTTGTCTTTTTAAAAATCAACCATAAAATTATAGAAAGACAAAAATGATTACTTGTAAAGCAACTCTTATTAGAATGATCAAATAAACAACTGATTACGTTGTTATGCTAACAAATTGTCAAAGATTCAAAAAACTGACACTGGTGAAGGGGCAGTAGGATGGTGTTCATACATTGTTAGTTTGGCACAATCGTTCTGAAAGTTGGAAATATTATAAAGAGCCTAAAAAGTTCTCACAACCTGAACCACTTATTCCATTTACATGAGTATATCCTAAAGAAAGAGTCTAATATAGAGATCAAATTTTACAAACAAGGATGTCTCCCCCACTATTATTTATAATGGTGAAAGATTAGAACAACCTAATATCCAAAGAGAGAAGTAATTAAATTATGGCATATTCATACAATAGAATATTAGGCAGCCATTTTTAAAAGTCACATTTTCAAAGACATGGGTAAATACTTATGAAGTAAGGTTATAAAAAACAGGGTACATAATTATATGGTCAGTATAATCTCAAGTTTGTTATTACACACACACACAAACACATGTACACACACTCATACATAGAAATAGCATAGACAATGACTGAAAAGAAATACAGAAAAATATTAACAGGGTTATCTCTGGGTCGTGAGACTGCAGATAATTTTTTCTCTGTTTTATAACTTTTCAGTACTTTTCAAATTGTCTATAATAATCACGTATTAGTCTTAGAAAACATTTTAAAAATTCACTGTTGTCAATTTTAAAATTTGTATAGTTCATATTAAACAGGAAACAAATATTAATGTACTCAAAAGTGTATCTAAAGTATGGAAAATAAATCACTAATGTGTAAAAGTATAATTTCCAAACATACATAGGTAGACGACTTTGAATCTAAAAGGGTAACATTATTTTATCTCACTCAAGCATAGAAAGTTGATATTTAATAAATAAAAAACATAAATCTTTAAATAAAATTGGTGCAAGGCATCTAAAAATTGTGCTACTTGGGCATAACACTGAAGATATAAACACTCTCACCAATATAATGTAGACACTCAGTGTTAAGTTAAAATAGGTATAATGCAATACATACATGGTGACTGAATTATCTCTCTCTCTCTTTTTTTTTTTTTTTTTTTGGCCAAAGTGACTAGAACCAGTCTATGCTAAAGAAAGAAATACAACACCATACCATTATTTTAGTTGGAAGAGCCGCACCAAAAATCATGACGAAAAAATTGTGTAACTATAAGAAAATCCAGTGACTTGTTGATGACGTTAATGATCTCTTGCTAAAAATTTAAGTAAAAGAGTCAAACTGCTTAAAGCACTAAAAAAGCACATAGCAGTGTATGGTCTGCAAAGATATGAAAAACACTTAAGAACACTCTTCAATGTTTCCTCATTTGCAGACTATCAAACATGATCTTTGAAGTCAAGGATTACATCTAAGTTCTTTTACCAATCTTGAATATATATTGTTACAATACAGTAATGACACAAAGGGATGTCACACACAAAAAGGCAAACTGCATGTAATTTAAAAAGTTAACTTTAAGATTATATGATTCTAATTTCTGATTTTTTTTAAAAAATCATATAAATATATAAAATATAAAATACATCCTAATATATTTTTACATAAGAGCTGAGGTTTACCATTTTTAACAAAAATTCTGAGATGGAATTAATAAAAAACAATTTTCATATATACCACAGAGCAATAAGTTTAAATCAGACTATTTTGAGTTGTGTAGCCCTTTATTAGCAACTAAAATAGAAGGTATCTGTTGTACAACATGGGTAGTAATTGACTATAACTGGAGATTTATTATATTCTAATACAGATCATTTATAAATGCAATTTCTTTATTAAAAAGCTTCCACCTTTTTTGTTTGTTTGTGTACAATTTGCAAAACTATTCTGAAAGCGGAATATATGTGCACAAGTCTGCAAAGAGTGCAAATTTAGGATATGGTAAATGCTTTACAAGTTACTTTCAAAAAACTGTCTGCCACAACTGAGCCTTTACATTGTCGTCTTTTTTGATCAAAATACTTTGATGCCAGCCTTCCTTACACTGCCCTAAACTATAAAGCATTTTTAAATGAGTTGAAATTAAGGAAGGACTACACCTACTAGAAAAAAAAGAGAAGAAAGTTCTATTAGTTTGAGGTTTCAGAATCCCCCCAAACCAGGACCAGTATCTTGGTAAAGGCTAGGCTGGGACCCCGGACAGAGTATGAGAATGTGCAGGTGGCATCCCTGAGGATTCAGAGCTTCAGTGGACCGTGAGTGCTCCAGCTGCATAACTCACTGAACTGTCTTGCCAGTTTCTACACTGGCTTGACTGGGCATAATTCAAAAAGGAAAAGCTCATATTCATTCCATTCTTCTGGAGCTCTGTGATAGCCTAGAAAAAGAAAAATTTGGTTAGACACACACCACATAAAAAAGTGGGCATTCAATATGTTTATGGTTTGACTTTGTCCACTTCACAGCTGAAGCCTAGATTCCTCTTTTGCTCTTTTGTTTCTTGAATTTCTCTTGTTACATCATATTAAAATAGAAAAAAAGAATTCCTAATATCATTCTCTCAAATAACTTCTAATCTTGTTGCTTGGTAATTATGTACCAGTCATTATTTAACCTCCCTCTCTCCCTGTAATAATGCCACTTTTTAAACCCTTTTGAACTTTTTAAATATATTTCTCTTTACTATATAAAACAAATCCCTGGCCACTTCTGTCTGAAGATGTCACAGTCTTTGTCTGACTTTGACTATATTTGAAATGTATATAAATTAAAATCCAGATATAAGAGGTATATGCTAGGAGTTTTACTTTAATTGTAGATTGGTTCAGCATTTAGTTTATAATAAAAATATTATTTGATTCAATTCAGATTTTAGGAAATTAGTACAGTTTATTCTAGCTTCAATTTCAAAAATTAGTTTAAGCTCTTGAAAAGCTTTTCTTTGAGCCAATCGATACAGCTTAAAAGAAAAACACTTCCTAAAAACCCATAATATTACCTTTCAAATCACATTAAAATAACATTGGAGTTAGGGTCCTACCCTAGCCTATTCTGGACTATATTATCTTCGTTATTTCCCTGCTTCTCCAGATGAGCCCACTGTTATTTTCTCCTCCCATTCCCGAGTTACTTTCTCCTCCCGTTCACTTTCTTCTTTCCTAATGAATGTCATATTTTCATTCAGTAAATTAATAATGTTTTACTAATTAGAAGAAAAAAAAAACACATCATCTGTCTTGCTTTAATGTTATGAACACCTAAAGTGTAAGAGCAGAATCTTCCATTTATTTTTTATAGAGTCTAGACCACTAAATAAAACCAAAATATTAATTAAGAGGTCACTTTAGTTTTTATTTATAAACAGCATATTGGAACTAAGAATCAAGAGAACATAAGGGTCTCTATTCCAAATAACTTTCTGTATTTAACAGAAAGTATTAAACTGTATTCCAATGATAAATAACTTTATTCAAGTAAGCAAAAGCAATGAAACTCCAAATTATGTTAAAGATACTAAAAAGAAACGACCACAGGTACATAAAACCAGTGATGCCACTGTATTCCAATAATAATGAGATATTTTGTAATATCACATGACCAAATATTAAGTCAAGGCTTCCTAAGGATACTTACATTTAATAACACCCCAATGGGATGTCTTCCACATATAGTATTATGGTATTTCTTCAAGTAATTGCTAAAAGATACAGGGTCTAATTGTTCTATGATACTCATACCCTAAAAAAACAACAAAGAAGAAGAAGGGGGGAAAAAAATAAAAGAAAAAGGACAAGATTTATTATTTCCTAATCATATTTTTAAACCGTTACTTAAACATAAATCTTCATTGGGGAGACACAAAGAAAACAGATTAAATAACCTTGTGAAACATCAAACTCATTCATCAAAGATAATATCATTATAATTAACTCTATTAACAGAAAACATTTAATCCCCAGTTTATTTTCTCCAACCTCCAGGTATGTTTCTATACTACTTTAACCATTTGTCATTTATCTCATAATCCTCAAACATTTCCTAATATTTTATTGTCCTCACAGAAAGAATACACAAAAGTACGTCTACTCTGAAAATCTGTATATGGAACCTAAAATTCAATTTATGGCTCTTTTCTCCATATCCATTATATTTTTCCTGCTTTTGGCATGAAAAGTCAAGAGTTAATTGTAACTCAACTATTTCCATAACATATACTTCAATATCAACAGTGTAAGGTATTTTAAATTACCAGTATTAAATAATCTAGGTATGTGGGGGAAAAAAAAAACACAAACTAAGAAAATAGTTAACATCTTTTAATTAATTTAAAGCTCATGATAAAGGCAGGTTTAAACAACACAGAACTCTCTTTTTTTTCTTTTTGAGATGGAGTCTCACTCTGTCACCCAGGCTGGAGTGCAGTGGTATGATCTCAGCTCACTGCAACCTCCGCCTCCTGAGTTCAAGCGATTCCCCTGCCTCAGCCCCCAGAGTAGCTGGGATTACAGGCATTCACCACCACACCCAGCTAATTTTTATATTTTTAGTAGAGACCAAGTTTCACCATGTTGGCCAGGGGTCTTAAACTCCTGACCTTAAGTGATCTGCCTGATTTGGCTTCCCAAAGTGTTGGGATTACAGGTGTAAGTCACCAAGCCCAGCTTACAACACAGATCTCTACGAACAAGATTAGTAATAAAGGAAAGATTTTCATCTCTTTGTTTTTTAAACTAGAATGCCTTGTTTTCAAGATCTTAATACAGAATAAAACTTGTTAGACTACTGTCAAAACAACCACTATGACCTGAACACTAGTTTACACTAAATTCTACAATCTCCAAATACATTAAATAATGTATTTATAACTTTATAAAGCAAATCACCAAGTCAGGGAAATAAATCATTGATTCAAGCTAATTCATTCGCCAATTATATTATTTTCTTATTCAGTTAAAACATTTTCTATTCAATAAATTGGCTTCATAACCTCTGGGAGAAATGTAAATGATGGTTTAACTAGGGACTTAACTGGTTATTCTTTGTTTTTTGTTTTTATTTCACATTTTAACAAAACAGGTACAGTGTAAAAGCACCAAGAGTAATCAGATAAACATCATTTTTAAAAAAAAAACTCATCTAAAAAATGATAGTAACCAGTGGGTGACAGAAATTTTACAGTGGCAGCATCAGAATTTAATTCTACCAAAAAAAAAAAAAAAAACCTTTTCTTCAGAATCCATGTCCTTCACAAACATTATCAATATTCCACATATATGTGTGTAACTATACACATCTGAAACATAGACATACACATGTACAATCAACTTTGATTTGCTTGCACATGAATTAGCCACTCTCAGACTGGTCCACAACCAGTTTGTAATGCTAAGTTGGTTCTCCCTTGCCAACCAGGGGGCTTCCAGGTCAACACTCTCCACTGACACTCGGAATATAAGCTCAGAGAAATACTAACTTAAAAGTTAAACCTAAGATGGGCCAGGTAGTGTGGCTCAAGCCTGTACTCCCAGCACTTTGGGAGGCTGAGGCAGGTGGATCACCTGAGGTTAGGAGTTGGGACCACCCTGGCCAACATGTTGAAACCACGTCTCTACTAAAAATACAAAAATTAGCCAGCCGTAGTGGCACACGCCTGTAATCCCAGCTACTTGGGAGGCTGAGACAGGAGAATCACTTGAATCTGGGAAGTGGAGGTTGTAGTGAGCCAAGATTGCACCACTGCACTCCAGCCTGGGAAACAGAGCAAGACTCCGTCTCAAACAAACAAACAAAAAAGTTAAACCTAAGATTAAAAAATATCATAATTCTGATGCCAAAAACATTACAGTACATTTCTAATCCAAGAATGGATTATAGTAATGCTGAGATGGAATTCTAAATCTCTTCCATAAATAATGGATGATCCAGATATAACTCCCTAGAGATAAATGAACGGAGGCACAAAAAAGGCATAGTCCTGGCTCTAAATTTGTTTTTCATTGACTACTGTGATTTATTAAAGTATAACAAGAGTCATACTAACAATTCTTTGAACACTCACATAGCTACAACTTGCATACATATAGTAGGTGAACTTTTAATGCTCCTGAATGAAGTCTACCTAGAACACCTTACCTTAACTATAAATCCACTCATTAATAAATAATGTGACATGAGATTTTAATGTACATTTTAATATTAGAATCTCAAAGCACATTCAGAACAAACATCACATTTATATACTGATATGAATTTAAACAGAAGAAAACTAATGATCACATTTCAGAAGACAAAGAATTCAAACTAACTGGGCAAGAAACCCTGATATAGAAAAACAGGAGATTATAAATGCAGAGAATATACTGCTAAGTAAGGAGTTCAAAATGAAGATACACTGGTTAAATTACAACAGAGAAAATTTAAAAATTGAGATGATGGGAGTTAGGAAGTTAAATATGCAATAATTTTAATTCTTGCATATATGTGTGATATAAACTTACTAGTGCAAAAATTAATTTAATTATACTCAATTGGCTGACACAAGTGGTATTTTAAGAGGTATGCCTCTTTATAAGGAAATACAGAGGGGAAAATTAAGGCTTTTCTCATAGGTGAACCTCTCTTATTGAAAAATTCATTAAGTATGCAAACAAAAGCAATAATGATAAAATTTAGAAATGGAACATTATTAACTAATACAGAATACTGGTAAATACACTTTTACATGTACCTATGTTTTTAGGTTAACAACTATGAGGTTACTATTAGGAAAATTCTAAAGAGACAGAAATACTAGTTCAATGCTGTTGGCAAAAGTCCAAAAAGGTGAAAAAGAATGTCCTTCCCCAATTACGCTGAATTATCTTTTTTATTTATTAAAATGGTAGAAGGTATGATCAGTGATTCTAAAGTCCAGGCAATGAGAGCTTCCTAAGACCTAGTATAGTGAAAATTTGATTGTTCACATAAACTTAATGTGGAGAAGTAGAATGGGTCACTATACTACCCATTCAGCTCTAAGAAATAAGGCAGACATAAATACCAAAAGCCCATCCATCAAGGATTATGGGTTTCTGAGGAATTTAAGTTTCAGCAAGAAATACGCAGACTGAAAGCTAACTCCCTAAATTTAGGGGGTAAACCAATCTATCATTGTGTTGACTCTTCAAGTAATCAGTGAATATTTGTGTCAAATTCCAAGTGGCAACCCTAAACTAAATAGGCAGTATTAACTGACAAAGCTCAAATTCAGGACTCTGATAAGACAACAAATATCTTCTCTTTTTAAAAAAAGTTTATATTTAATAAAATGGCAATCTAAAAATTATCACCCAGAAGTAAATCTCTCCCAAAAATAACAAACGCAAAGGAGTAGCAAAACATTTTAGAGACACTCATGAAATAAAAACCAGAATCAGGTCTTTTAATTCCAACCACATAATTAACACGATATTATTGAATCAACAGAATTCTGGGCTCATTTTTTGAAGGATATACATTTATATTTGTGACAAGTACACATTTAGTGAGATGGAGCAGGAAAAGGAAATATTCTAGTTTCTTAAGAGGCATCAACATAAAATCCTAATGGTGAAAGTTCTATAGAAAAAGCTCACCTTAAAAATAGCAGTGCTAAGTAATATACTAATAAACGGCTAACTTACAGAAAATGTTATAAAACCTACTAAGAAGCTGCTGGCTTAGGTTCAAGAGAAAGAAGTATAAATTGACAAAAGGAACAATTTTCACTTTTAAAATAGTAGAAAGGAAGAAAAGTAGTTCATGTTCAAATTAAGTTACGTAATTGACAAATTTAAAAGAAAAAGAAGTTATAACAGATGAATACAATGACATTTTCAGATTATCCTTGTCAAATCATAATTTACCAATATCCATGAGACACTGGTCTACACCAAAAAAGTAGTATAATAAAAATGATAACCTATGACCACCTCATATATATACATAAAATATGAATAACTATGGTTATTTCAAGTAAAATTCACAAGATCAATATCTCCAAATAGGTTCCGCTTTAGTCACAGTAATTATTGACATTGCAAAGTATTAATTACCCAAAAAACTGGTCTATAGCCAATAAAATTATAAGATTTTCAGAGTTTAGATATCCTATGCTACAGTTACATAATTTTTCCCAACTATATTTGATAGTTTGTTCTCCTATATTTTATTTTTTTTTCACATACTTAATTTCTAAGATATTCAAGTGCTAGAAATATAAACATTTTGCAATAAGAAGAACAGCTATTTTTCTTTGGCAACTTAGAAATGGTTTTTTTTCCAGCATTGTAATAACTATATTTAGTAATAGTTTTCTGTTAAAAAGGATCAACTTAATTAACATGCTAATTTTGAAGAGATATAATCTAAAATTTTATGCTTAGTTTCTTTTTACTCTACAAAACTTTCAAAATGTATACTTATTACTTATCAATTGTAACATCTGAATTGAAATGTTACAATTCAAAATTCTTAACATTTTTCTAATGCTTCTTTGGAGAACCATCCAAGTACATTTTGGCTGAAAATATCACATATGAAAACTAAGATAATGGTTCTCAAATGAATTAAATTATTTATAATATAATCTATTAGAAAAGAAATATGCAAAAGTATATTCACCATCTGATTATATACATCAATTAAGACAATACGTTATTGAAGTCTGACTAACAGACTTCAATACATACATAAAGGTAACACAAACACAACTAAGTTTA